TGCTATTTTGGTTGTTATCATTATTGTTATTGTGCTTTTTTATTATTGTTATTGTCGATTATTCTTCTTATTTTAATTGATCGTCCGAAATTTTGTCCCTAAATGCCGACAAGTCTAATATTATTAACGTGCCCTAACATTTTCGATATTCTAATTTCTATTGCAACATTTGAGATGTCTAAATTTTGGATTGAAAAAAAGATGTAGCAAATTTAGGACCCCAATAAATGAGATGCTAAATTTTTTACCGAAAAAAAAAAGTCACAAATTTACAACGTTCATGTAGTATGTGCATATTTGCGCCGGACTCGAGATGTCCGTCGCAAATTTTGCGAGAGAATTTGTACCGTTCGAAATTGTATACAGATAATTTAATCCGTCGCAAATTTGCAACGGAATTTTTTTTACGTCGCAAATTTGCGACGGATTTTTATTTCTGCTGGAAATTTTTTGTCGATCGCAAAATTTGCGACCGATATAGAAAGTCCATTGCAAATTTGCGATGGAAAGTTGATTTTGCGATGAGATTTTTACCGCTCGAAATTTTCGACGTAAAAAAAATCCATTGTAAATTTGCGACGGACTAAGATTTTCGTCGCAAAATTTGCAACGGACTAATCTGTCCGTCGCAAATTTGCCGTTAAAATTTTGCCGTTCAAATTTGCGACGGAAAAATTAATCCGTCGCAAATTTGCGACGGGAAAATTAATCGGTCGTAAATTTGCGACGGAAAGCTTAGTCCGTCGCAAATTTTGCGACGGACAGCTTAGTCCGTCGCAAGTTTGCGACGGATAGCTGGAGTCCGTCGCAAATGTGCGACGGACAACCACAGTCCGTCGCAAATTTTAGGAGGGAAATTTTGCCGTTCAAATTTACGACGGATGTTTAATTCCGTCGCAAATTTGCGACGGATTTTTGTTTTCGTCGGGAATTTTTGTCGGTGGAAAATTTGCGACGGACGCTTTGCGACAGACTTGCTCGGTCCGTCGCAAATTTGCGACGGACGTCAGCGTTCCGTCGCAAATTTACATCGTTATTACCCCTCCCCCTTCCCCGACGCCGCCCCCCGCCCGATCTCAAGCGCATTCCCCCGCCCGTCGCCGTGCCGCAGCCCGCCGCCGTCGCCGTCGCCGCCCGACGCCGCCGGGTGGCGGCCCGCAGCCCTCCGCCCATCGCCGGTCGCCCACCGGCCGCCCGCCTCAGCAACCCCTCCCCCCCGCCAGTCGCCCCCCCCGCTTCAGTCGCGCCCTCGCCCCCGCCTCTTATCGAAAATTCTTCTCACTTCATTGTCTTCCGCTTCCTCCCACTTGAACTTCCGCTGCAATGAATAAAAACACAAATTGAAAATTATTATGATGATTACATATCCATAACCATACACCAGACAAATATAGACAGATTTTGTAAAGTTCATTTTGGGGAAAATATCTGGTCCTTTAGGTATTGAAAACTACAGAGTTGTTCTGGTCTCTTTACATCATTCTTGACCATCAATATACTACACCACACTTAATTGGTGAGAAAATAAAATATGTAAAACTTACCTTGAACTCATTCCACCACATTTCTTTCACTTCTTGTGGAACATTTCTGTAAGTAATATACTCTCCCATCCAAAAGTTTCTTACTATTTTGTTCAATTCCCTCACAACAGACGGAGACATCCGTGAATCCGCATTCATATGAATATTGTGCAACATGGACAATTCAATTGACATCAATATCTAAAACCCTAAATATTACATATACTAAAATAAAAATGAAGTACTTACGAATCTCCAAATGGGCATATGAAGAATCGGTTATCTTCTTGACCTCTGTTTCCGTCAATATTTGATTGTTCCGCCGAATAATGGGGTGGAACGGAAGGAGAGGGAGCTAAAGGAGATTGAACTGGAGAACGTTCAGTTCGCATGTGGCCAAGTCCCGTAATATGTTGTTGAGTGTTGGAGGAAGGGCCAACGTGTCCATATTGTAACGGACCATAGTGTGGTTGAGGGTTAGATGCCGGGACAGGGGAAGAGGAAAGGGACGGGGACGAGGACGAGGAAGAGCCTTGTCTTCTAGGCATGTGACCTCCATGTTTATACTGACAAGTAGGAAGGTTATGCGAATATGTAAAGAACTATTGACACGTATTACGAACACATAATGATGTACATGACGAAGCTTACCATTTTGATGGAAAGACAGAGAAAATGTTTCCTTGAAATGAGCCAATGTCAAGTGTTTATGACGTGCAATTTCCTACAAACAAATATACTATGAATCCCATTCATTTTGATATGAAACATCAATGTATGAGCACGATTTGGGTAGTTACAGGTATTAAACATCACTATATGAATCGCTTTCATTTTGATTAAATTTTTTTTGACAACGTACAAAAATTTAAATTTCACTGAAAGTGGGTGGCCACAAGTATTCTAAGTCATTCTGTACAGTTTTGTAAGAAAAAAATTATTATTATTGCAAAAAAAAAAATTTGGGCCCTAAAAAAAATTTCACTAAAAGTTAGTGGCCACCGATATTCTAAGACATTTTGTAAAGTTTTGAAATTTTAAAATTTTAAACATTTTTAAATTATTATTTTTTAATATAAATTTTTTTCGTGAAATAAAAAAATTTGTCCATACTAAAATTGGGTGGCCACATGTAGTCTCAGCTATTAAGTAAAGTTTCCAAAATTTTTGTCCTTATTTATTTTAATAATTTTTAGGGCACGTTAAAAAAATTAAATATAACTAAAAGTGGGTGGCCACAGGTATTATAAGCCATTCCAGTGAAGTTTTGAAAATTTTTAAATTCTAATTTTTTTGGCCATCTAAAGAAATTTACATTTCACCTGCAAGTTGATGGCCACATGTTTTCTAGGCAATTCTGTGCAGTATTGAAATTTTATATTTTTTTAATTTTTTTTCACCCAAAAAAATAAAAATTTCCCTCACAATGGGTGACCACATTTATGTTAAGCCATTTTATAAGGTTATGGAAATTTTTAATTTTTTAATATTTTTTTCCCCGGAACGTTAAAAAATCTAAATTTCATTGAAAATGGGTGGTCACTATTAATTTTTGCCATTTTGTGATATTCTGAAATTTTTGTTTTTTAAAAAGTTTAAAAAACTTTTACGGTCAAATTTCATATTTGTTGCCAACATATACCGTTGTTTTAATTTTCCGTAATTTTCCTTGATTTTTTATAGAATTGTTCAATTTTCAAGCATTTTCTGTGAAAACGCTTAATCAATCACCTTATCGTCATTTAACGCTTAATTATCCACATAATAGACAAATTAACCAGTCGACCATCGATCAAAGCCACATGCAATCCTGAAATCGACCCGTAACTTAGCCAACGAAAAGTGATCCTAAATAATCCTTAAACAATTCCGACTAATTACCTAATTATACTAACTAGGGTTTAGAGAGATGCTTACTTGGTTCAAGGACAATATAAATCGGCCGATAGAACAGTGGCGGTCCCGGCGCAAGCGTGAGCTCAAATGGTGACTAGTCGGCCAGGTGCTCGGCCACGACCGGGCGAACGACGGCGGAGCTCGGCGGCGACGGCGTCAGGGGCGGCGACGGTGTCGGGCGGCGGCGACGGTGTCGGGCGGCGGCAACGGGCGTGGGGCGGACGACGTCGGGCAACGGCGATGGCGGCGGGTCGGGCGACAGCCACCCGGCTCGGCGACCGGGAGGCGGAGTGGCGTGTGGTCGGCGGTGGCACCGCGGCACCGGCGGCCTGGGCGACGGCTACAAAGTGGACGACGGCAAGGCCGACGGCGTTTGGCGGCCGGGCGGGTTTCCGGCGGGCCGGGCCGGCTCTCGGGCGGGCGAGCGACTGCGGCGAGGCTAGGCAACATGACCGCGGCTAGCAACTGCTGGGACGCGAATTTGGCGGGGGGCGGGCGACGAGGCGAGCTAAGGGGTGACCGGCGGGGGCGGGGCGACGGGCCTGGCGGGTGGCGGCGAGGCGGGGGCGAGGGCGCGACGAGGCGGGGCAACGGCTTAGGCGGGGGCGAGGCGCGACGAGGCGGGGGCGGTCTGGCATGAGGCGGGCGAGGGCGCGATGGGCGTGGGAGGCGGGCGACGCGCGGGGTCATGGGGGGCGACCGCACGGCCGGCGGCCGGGACTCATGTGGCGACCGCGACGGGCGGGGCCCCGCGGGCCGACCGGCGACGAGCGGCGACGACTGGGCGGCGACGGTGACGGCTGCGACGGGGACGGGCGGGGGGGAATGCGCAGATCGGGCGGGGGGCGGCGTCGGGGAAGGGGGAAGGGTAATAACGATGTAAATTTGCGACGGAACGCTGACGTCCGTCGCAAATTTTCCACCGATAAAAATTCCCAACGAAAACAAAAATCCGTCGCAAATTTACGACGGAATTAAACATCTGTCGTAAATTTGCGATGGATTAATTTTTCCGTCATAAATTTGCGACGGATTAATTTTTCCGTCGCAAAAAATGTCAATAAGTCCTAAAACTCACCACAAAAGTTCAATTGAGTTCTTAAACTTTCAAAAAGTGCAATCAAATTTTAAAACTTGTCAAACTGATCCAATCAACTCATACCGTTGATTGCGCTTTTTGAAAGTTTTAGAACTTGATTGTACTTTCATGACAAGTTTTAGGATTTGATTGCATTTTTTGAAAGTTTTAGGACTCGATGACACTTTCATGATAGTTTTAGGATTGGATTGCACTTTTTGAAAGTTTTAGAATTAAATTATATTTTCGTGACAAATTTTAGGACTTACAGTGCACTTATCTCATAAATTTTTATGATAGTTTCCACTGCGTGTCCAAAATTGAGCAAAGTTTCTTTCATTTCATTAAGAATTAATATTATAAAAAATCCTAAACTAGTACACATGTAACAATTTTAATCAAAACTAATTTTTCGACCGTACATCCGTGAAAAATTAGTTTAGAAAATAAAAATTTCGGTCGAAACACCTTAGAATTCACAGCTACATGAAACGAAAGAAGAAACGGGTTTTGTTTTAAAGACACAGAAACCTAACCCATTCCTTCTCTTCTATATCTCTTTCCAGGGCTCAAACGCCCGCCTCCACCCCGGCCTCTCCAAAACCAGGCCGCCCTCTCACGGACTCCGCTCCGCCGCTCGCCGACGCCGAGACTCAGCTCCGTCGCGCGCCCCGTCGATCGCAGCGACGCCACACCCCGACCCCGCACAATCCCCTGCCGGCGTCGTTGGACCTCAGGTACGCTTGCCGCCGCCGACGCCGCCGCCTCTTGGTTTCTCGTTTTCTATACCCGCACTTAGTGACTGAGAATTAGGGTGTTTCGCAGAGCTGGACAGCAATGGAGGAGACTCGGGCTGTGCAGGTTGACCTCGGGAGTCTCATGGCCTTCGATTCTAGCCACCACTTTCCTTCCCTACCTTCTTCGAGGTTCGCACTTCTCTACCGCACGCCTTGGTCTGCGGTGCTTCGGTTTTTGGGTTTTGGGTTTTTTCCGGTGCATAGTTTTTCGTGAGAGGTGCCATTGTTGGGAAATGTTGTGTTTTCTTTTCTGTTGCGATCACCGAATTGAATTTGCTTTTATGCAATCGTGGGATGTGTGGGTTTTCATCCATTCTAAAGGTGGAGAAAGAGACATGAGCTCTTTTCTGGGTGTTTAGTTTGATGTAGAAAGAATGAAGTGTAGGTCTCACCAAAGGGAAAAAATTTGAGCCTTTTGTGTTGTTAGTATGGGACTAGAGTTAATTCATGGAAGATTGTGTACGGAGTTCGGCAGTATGGTGAATTTGTGAACGAGCGTATTGTAATCTGTTAGTTATGGTATCGATTATTTGTGGGTAGTGAGGACTGAGAAGTATTGAATCAGGATGCGGATTATGGTTCCAGTTTTTGTTTCGGAATTAGAGATGTCGATCTTTGTTTATTTTGATGTTTATGAAATATGAAGGGAGGAGTTGGTTGCGAATTGTCTGGAGAAGGGGACTGAGCTTGTTCAAGCGGTCGCAGATGCCCTTTTCAACTTACCTTCGACTGAAGATGTGGATGGCCCTATTGTCAAGTTGCCGCCGCCAACAACAAAATTGCCTAGAGAAAAGCATGTAAGCATTTGAGCTCAGTCCTCTTTTTAATCTTTTCCTTAATTAGTGAAGAACTTCAGTAGATCACTCTTACCTAAGTAGAGGACCTGCTATGATAGATGATCAGAGTAATTCTCATCTACATTTGTTTTTTCCATTAACAAGGAATTTTTGAGCGGTGTCTTCATTATACTTTGAATTATACATATTATCTCTTGCATTCTTAATACATACTGTGGAAGAAGTGTATGAGTATAGCATACTGGAGGGAGGGGGTATCTGAGGAGAAGCACAACAATTGGGGATAGGAATCCGGTCTAATACATGCATAAAATGTACATAAACACATTCTTCAGCACGTTATGCCTTCAGCTTCTAGATCATCTATGTTTGGCGAATGAATTCCTCTTTTAAAGATTGGTGAATCGTTTATCTATTATTATGACTTGGTGAAGGAATTTTGGAGTACATGTTTGGTATGATAACATTACAAGATGGCAATTACAGGTTTGGTGTCCTTCATGATATGAATGTTGCTGTTAAGAAATATGCCTATTTTGTTTTGCTGATGCTACTTTATGTTTATCTTTTGCTTACAAGAATAAAAGGTTTGCCTTTGCCGGTATGACTTATAAGAGCTGATTTTACTGTTTATTTGCTTATAGTGAGAGATTTATTGTTTTTTCAGTTGCCAAAGCCCAAACCTCCTACAAAATGGGAATTGTTTGCCAAATCCAAAGGTGAGCCATAATATCGCAGGCTGTATCAGTCTTTTAATTATGTTTTTGCTGTTGGGAGAAGAAAAAATTTCTGCAGATGTTAATTGTTGATTTTATGCAACTGTAGGATATGTAGGCCTTTGGTCATTGGATTTCTTGTTTAATCATGAACTTTTTGTATTAGGTCTCAATTATCCCCGTTTTGATCAATTTATGTATGTTAACATTATTCTAATGATATATTTCAGGTATAAAGAACCGTAAAAAGGACAAGATTGTTTATGATGAGCAGACTGGTACTTGGAAGCGCCGCTATGGATATGATCGTGTTAATGATGATCAAGATTTACCCATACTCGAGGCCAAGGCCACCGATGGTATACAGACAAATCTTTTATTAATTGCATATTTCTTCTTTGATTAGGTTTTTGCGTATAACTTGTCCTTAATCACCATATAATTGCTTTAAGATGCAAATATGCTCGATTTTCATGGGCAAGCATAGCAGATTTTGATTAACCAATGGTTTAAAAGCACTGGAAAGCAAGCCGGTTCAGCCATTTGAACCAGGTGCTGTTCCATGGTCCATTTCGGTTTTCTTCCTAAAACCTTTCAGGTCAAAAATCTGATTTGACCTGATTCATCCAGTCAAACTTGATTTGTCCTAATATTGACATTTTGCCAAACTTAGGGGACAGGGACTTCACCCTCGACTATTTAGATAAGATTGTTCCTATTGCCAAATCACTTTTCCAGATGTCATTTATGCTTGTTACGTCAGAAGCAATTATGTTTATGACAAACTACAATTCTCATCTCCACCAAAAGGGCCTTGCTACGGGAATTAAGTTTAAACACACGGCCCTAGAGACCAGGAGAGGCCCTCCTTGCCATCTCAGCTGGGCATGACTGCTATGAGTTTATACTTATAGGTGTACTGTATTATATCGTATAAATTGCAATCTTATTGGAGGCATCAACTTGTTTGGAATCTCCTGTTCAACCCGTTCAACTGTAGCTTGACTGGTTTTTACATTGTTATATGGTTATAATATTTTTTTTCCTGGTTAAATTTTATGTAACCAGTGTAACTTAGTCTATGACACCGTAACCTTTTGTGATTAATTGCACATGGTTGTTGCTTGCAGAGGTTGGAATTGACCCTTTTGCTGAGAGACGGGCTGATAAGAAGAAGCGTGTCGAAAAGCAAAACAAAAACCGATTGCAGAACCTAAAACAAGCTGCAAACGCTCATGCTTTGCCAAGGTATTTCTCCTTAACATCTTATATAATGATAGTGACATTTTTTTCTTTACGTAATGCCTGAGCAACTATTCTTAGAATTAATCCTAATCCTCACTCTTTGATATATATTTTTGAGATGAAAATCAAAACGTTTCTATATTTTTGGTTAATCTCCTTTGAAAATCAAATTTCCTCTGCATCTGATAGACAATATGTTGTCTATGTCCAGTAGCGATTGCCTCTAGCACGCGTCCCAATGCCTGAAACCCTCAGATGTTTTGAAATTGCATTATCCAATCCCACCCATGCATGCAAATATTGAGACGCAGTTATCTTTTATGCAGCCATATTCAGCTAGCGGCCACAGCATTGCCCATAACGGGAACCCAGGCTGCACCAAAGAAAGTGAGTAAAGATGAACTGGGGAATGTTGCCGGATTAGCAGCTACCGCCACAGCCAGTGGTGGGAAGTTTGACAAGAAGCTTCCAGGAGAAAAGAAGCCGAAGCACGAGCAAAAGCATCGCAAGGTTACTGGAGCCGAATAATTTCCATGATTTCTCTTATACTTCAAGATTCACTTCCTCAAATTTCTTCACTCTTCTGTTCAGTTCCTTCCAGTAGCAGAAGGAACAGGCCAGGGTTCCAAAGAGAAGGAGCAAACGGACAGAGTTCTAAACAAGCTCCTTTCCAAGAATTCACATGAAATCCTTAACGTTGATAAGGTACAGTTCTATTGCCTCTTTTCAGGAGAAGGATATGTCGATGCTTGAACAAGTGGTTGAGCTTACACTGTTCTTATTTGATTGACATATGGATTTTACAGGCTGTTACGATGTACAATGTGAAGAAAGAGAAGAAACGAAGTAACCAAAAGCGAGACTCCTCTTCAAACTCGAGCAAGTTGAAACCACAGAAGAAGGTACAAAAAAAGCCCTTTAAGAAGGGATCTGCTAAGAGGGGATCTGCCAAGGGATCTGCTAAGAAAGGATCTGCAAAGAAAGAGAAATCTAAATGAAACCCATAACTATTTAGAGTTGTTGTATGCTTGTAGAGTTTTTGATTAGGTGCTACAAGTATGTTAGGATCATATAATTTTGCTTCGAGAAATATTTATTTTTTGTCATAGCAAACTCTCTTCTTTATCTTTTGCATGTTAGTGCTTCTTCTGGCACTTGTTTTCTTTTACATAACACGAGCTGATATGAGTATGCAACACAAATTCAGATGGTTTCTTCCTCCTGACGTAATATTCTTTATCATGTTCTGATCAGGAGTGTACTACGACACTAAGAAAACGGGAACGTCTAAGATAAGCTGTCCTGTCTTCCGTGCTATGGGCTCATGAAAATAACATTTAAGGTGGATTTGTTAAGTTCGCCCAAATAAAAGGAAAAAGAGGTGATAATGTGGCATTGGCAAGAACTTTGTGCTGAGGGGATTTTCACGTCAAAATGCATGTGTGGGTTGTGTTAAAAAAGTCTCATATTAAAGAATTGATGTGATGTGGAGAAGTTAATATATCCTAGTGTTGGCTCATAATTCATTGACTTAAGCTTTTGAGTGAAAATGAATTTAAATGAATATATTGACAGGCTTAGATTTAAGTTCCTTGATTTCCTCAGCCGAAGGTAATGCTTTTGCTACATGCTCCCGACCAACTAGTGGCAACATAGCTCAATGGTTTGAGCTTTCAGTGAAGGTAAGTCTATTTGGCTCGGATTTTGGCTGCTCTTTGGCAACTCCTTAGGTGAAGATATTGAACTTTTGCTGCACACTCCCAATGTTCTATCGCTCTTATATGTTCCTCTGCTGGAAGAACGGGAATGAAATTGTCTAGCGTATCTAAGATACTGCTCGAACTCAATTAAGTGCATCTACTCAAGCCCAATACTCAATGAGATTGTCCACGTTTCATTTGGCTCAACATCTTCGACTTGTCTATCTAGAAAGAAAAATCCCTTCTTTGTTACGCAATGCCACTGAGCTCAACATCATCGACTTGTCTAACAATGGCTTAATAGATAGCTTGCCTCGCTTCTTAACAAGTTTTAGCATCATCTTTTAATTTGAACTTGCAAATTAATCACCTTAAGAGTACAATTCCTCAAATCATTTTCTTGGAGAAATAGCTTGACGATTATTGACAAGTCAAAATCCATTTGAAGTAACATTTCCCCGGTTCCTTGTCACTTGTAAGATACTTGAAGTTCTGAATTCCAACAGCAATCACATAGAATATACATTCTCAAATTGGTTGGTATTACTCCCAACAGAGTTGAAAGTTCTTGTGTTGAGGTCCAACTGTTTTAAGGGTGTTTTGAATATTTTGAAGGGTGCTCACCTATTTTCAAGTTACACATTTTGGACCTCTCTAAAAACAATCTTGGCAGTCCTTTGCCAGCAACTCAATAATGAACCTTAAAGGCATGATGAAGAGAGAAGATGGCAAGACAAATCATTATTTATGTCATGGAACTCTAAAGGGATGTTTTATGAAAATTCCATCACCGTCGTTGAAAGGCTACATTGAGCTAGTCATGGCCACGGGCCGGTTTCGGCCCGGAACCGGCCCGGTCAAACCCGGGCCCGGCCAATTGACTGGGCCCGCGGTTCGGAACCGGAACCGGCCCGTGGCCTACAGGCCCGATTCAGGTTCCAAAAATTTTGGAACCGGCCCGGAATCGGCGGTTCCGAGCCCGGTTCCAAAAAAAAAAAAAAAAAAAAAAAACCCTACAGTGCAGCAGGGCCTGCACGTCTGCAGGGCCTCACCCCCACCCACGCCCACCTCCTCTAGTCCTCCACGCGGCCACGATCCTCTCCCACCAGTCTTCCGCTCCACCCTCTCCTCCTCCGTCCACACCCCTCTCCGCCACTCCCACCCCCTCTCCGCTGCCGCCGCCCCCTCTACCTCCCTCCTCCTCATGCCCTCCTGGTCCTCCCACCCTTCCCTCCCTTGCATCGGCGTCAAGCTCGTGACCCACTTCCCAAAGAACTCCTCCGCGCCGAACCCCGCCGAGGGTCCACGCCGTCTTCGTCCTCTTCGGCCTCCTCACCGGCCAGCCCTCGCCACCGCGGAGGCCACCGTGTTGACCGACCGTGCGCTCTGGCCTCGCCTCCAAGCTCCTCGCACCACGAAGGTCCTCGTCATGGTCGGTCCCTCCTTCGCCTCCAAGCCCTGGTCCCCTTTCTCCTCCGCCCGCCCCCGTCTTCCCAAATCTAACCCCCGCCGCCATCACCCCCCGCCCATGGCGGCAGCCGTCGACGCCGACGCCCCCTCCTCCTCCCCCCTCGCTACCCTGCGCCTCCTCCCCCCTCGAATCGAAACCGGCCGGAACCGAAACCGGCCCGGAACCGCCAATTCCGGTTCATACATGGCCACAAACCGGAACCGCCTGTTCCTGAACCGTGGCCATGTTTACATTGAGCTAGTACTTGACTGTCTTCACGAGAAAAGTGCCAAAAAAGTCCTAAACCTTTTGCATTAGTGCCAATTTAGTCCTAAACCTTTTTTTGGTGCCAATTCAGTCCTAAACCTTTTGCATTGGTGCCAATTTAGTCCTAAACCTTTTTTTGGTGCCAATTCAATCATAAACCTTTTAAATTGGTGCCAATTCAGTCCTAAACCTTTTGTTTTTGTGCCAATTTAGTCCTTCCGGCCAATTTTGACTGGAATTTGCCGACGTGGACGCCTGCCGACCGGCGGCCGGTCACCGGCGCTGACGTGGCGCCGATGTGGACAACTTTAATATTATTTTAATATTTTTTTGAATTGTTATTTTTTTTTCCTTTTTTTTCTTTTTTTTTCCACTTTTTTTTTTGGTCTCTTCCTCCTCCCTCTGGCCGGCGAGCTCGACCTCGCCGGCCACTGGAGGGGGCGGCCTCGCCCGGCGAGGGCAAGCCTCGCCAGATCAGGCGAGGTCGAGCCTTGCCTAGCGACCTCGCCGCGGCCTCCGGCGAGGTCGGGCCTCACCCGACCATGGCGAGGCTCGCCCTCGCAGCGGTCTCCTGCGAGGGTTCGAGCCTCGCTCGACCAAGGCGAGGCTCGCCACTACCGCCTCTCGCCTGGGGCCGATCGAGGCCGGCCGCTGGCCTCACCCACGACCGGCCATAGGGAGGAGGAGGGAGAGACCAAAAAAAAAAAGTGGAAAAAAAAGGAAAAAAAATAAAAATTCAAAATAATATTAAAATAATATTAAAGTTGTCCACGTCGGCGCCACGTCAGCACCGGTGACTGGCCGGCAGGCGTCCACGTCGGCAAATTCCGGTCAAAATTGACCGAAAGGACTAAATTGGCACAAAAACAAAAGGTTTAGGATTGAATTGACACCAATTTAAAAGATTTAGAACTGAATTGGCACCAAAAAAAGGTTTAGGACTGAATTGGCACAAATGCAAAAGGTTTAGGACTAAATTGGCACTAATGCAAAAGGTTTAGGACTTTTTTTGCATTTTTCCCCTGTCTTCACAACCATAAGCTTGTTGCACAACTCTTTTCAAAGCAACCTTCCAAGAGTCTTGGGACATCTTCACTCTCTCATAAGGTTCAACCTTTCGTACAACCACCTTAGAGGTTCCATCCCTCCAACTTTAGGAAACTTGATTGATCTTCCATAGCTCGATCTATCTTCAAACAAGCTGAGTAAGAAAATTCCATTTTGCATCCCTTGGATACATGGACCTCTCCAAAAACCAATTCACGGGATGCCTACCTAAGGACAAGCACTTGAGCACATTTTCAAGCAACTCTTTAGTAGGAATTCGGGCTTATGTGAAACTCCATTGCAAAAAATATGCCGTGGGGATGGTCAACCCCCTCCACCAGCCCTGTTTTTCATCCAAGAGGATGCTGCGAGAGAGCATGGAAGCTGGCTTGTGTGGAAAGCAGTGGGGATAGGTTATACATCCACAACGATCTCCATAGCATACATTTCATCTAAAATTAAAAGACCTAAATGGCTTACGAGAACTGTGAGAATGATGGAGAGAAGAGAGACGGGATGCCATATGGATAAAGAAGCCAAAGATGGATGATGGAAGTGTTGAATGATGTCAATGGAAACTGAGCGCCATGTAGCTCAATGAATGGTCGTCGGTTTGAAATGCCATCCACAGATTACATCTTCTTTTGGGGTTCATCTTGAATAATAAGACAAAACAACGGAAGCCCATTTAGCCGATCTTAATGAATGAATCTACCATGGAAATACATCCCTAATGGATCAGCACAAGACACTACATCATCCAGCTCCAAACTCTTTTGAACTCGCAAGTGAATAGTAGATCTCGGACTTGTACCTATCATAACACTGGTTTGCCATACTAACCAGGGTTATTAAAGATTCGTAACATCTACAAATTCAATTATCTTAATGGAAGAATGCATAAATGACTACCCTATTCAAAATGGACTATCGAAATTTCTCTATCCTACAGTGATGATTAGAGTCACGCATATCTTTGAAATGAAAAATGTTACCATCAACTTGACTAATATGCCTTTCAAGAAAAGGGGAAAAAGACTTTCGCATCGTGTATATATAAAACAATCCTATTCCTTGCTTAATATGAAATAACAAGAAAAAATCACTGAAAATCCTACTTATTAGCACCAATTTGTCAATGCCCATTTAGAATGGATGCCCTGAGAATTCTTCCACTGTCTTTTATGCATGCAGCCATGTAACCGTAAGACAATGAAGAAAACCAAATCTTTGACCCCAGAACTGTCGTTTCAAGAAGACTGTGACTTCTTAGCATTTATGATTAAGTGCTGCTCCACTGTTCTGGAGCCATTGTGCTGGTGCAAAACACGCGATATTCTACCGGACCTGTGTCTTCACTTCGCCCTTTCTGCGCAATCGTAGCTGTAAAATATTTTCCCCAGAAGTGCCAAAGTATCCTCACACCTGTAACCCGCCATCGGATCAAAACACTTGCAAGTCCAGAAAACGAGTTCCGTAAACAGAGACCTCCCTCAGCAATTTTCCGGGAAAAGAAAGAGCACGAATTTCTGGTCCAACGACAGAAAGAAAGAGGAGCGAAGGACGCCGAGTCTGGTGTCCCCTCTTGCTTGTTCGCCATTTCACAACCATCGAAAGAACCATTTTCGAGTTGCTGATCATAGCAAACGTCTTAGGATGTTTGGGTCGTGTGACTTAGGGGAGGGTGGGGTCAAACGCTGCGTGTTGGGATGGAGTGAGGTAAGTGGTGTGTCGTTGTTGTAGGATGGAATTATGTGACCTGAATGAATGCGCTTCTAGACTCTTATGGAGTTTTGAGACCAAAAATACTTACCTTATATTATACTAAAAAAATTTGGGGGTGAATTATTTATAATTGAAACATTTTTGTTATATATATATATATTATCTTTTGATCTCAAAGAACCATCATGGAGTAAAAGAATCAATGAAGACAATCATTACCGCATCATTGTAACGTGACCAATTAACTAACGATAGATGGTCATGGGGATAGAGCCAGGCTGTGGTCCCCATAGCCGCCCTTCCCCAGGCATTGGATAAGACTTGAGGGCGTATTTGATTAATAGAAAGTGAGCCATTGGAATGAAAATGGAAGTCCTATTCACTTTCTCAATACTGTTCGGCAAATTCGAATGAGGCGAAATATACATGGAAAGTTGAAATGAAAGTTGCTGCATTACTGCATTTTGTTACCATGGGGAGTGTAAATGAGTGAGAATCTATGGCAATTGGTTAATAAAAAAAATTGTGGATCATTAACTAGACTTACCCAATTTGCAATTTTTTACAGCAAATTGACAAAAATAAAGTTCGAACCATAAAAAAGATGCATTCAGATACCGATGCATCACCGAGTGAATTAACTTCAAAAGTTGATACTTCATCGTTGGATCCATTGTACCATCGAGATTTGTCTCCCATTTTTCTGTTCCTTCCTCTTTCCGTAATTTTCAATTTTGCTCCTCACACCTTCTCTCTCTCAACACTGATCTCAGGCACTGAGTGATGGGCCAGGACCCAAAGGACTGCCTGTCGCACAAGCATGTCCACCCGTTGCCGCCCTACCACTGTTGTAAGGCCACGCCCGATTTGATTCCTATTCCGCGAACCTAGAATCGCCTATGAGCAATTCAGTTTCCTGTTCCAAGGCCGGAACCGCTATTTCTACTGAGGAATTGGTTCTACCAGTCTGGTTCCCGAGTTGAACCAATTTGAAACCAATTTGAAATTTCAAAGCCTCCATTAGCAAAAAAAAAAAAAAAAAAACTTTGGACCCATGGTCTTCAATGCGAACAAAAAATAAAATAACGACTCCACCAACAAATATTTTTGTGGTGAACTAATGTAAATTTTGTATTCTATTGTAGTTTTTTTCCCAAAATATGAAATGGGTCGGTTCAGGAACCGGCAATTCAGATTCGATCAGTTATGTCCCCAATTTCAATCTTTTCAAACTCACAGCGAACCAACACTCCTAGAATCAATTACCTGTACCAGTGAATGTGAGCCCAATGAATCTGGATTTTTTCTACCGGTGGGTCATACATAGGACTCGCGTGATTTAGGTGCTTGGATGCACTGGGCTGATATGCACCCAACACACCTAAGAATGTCTCAAAACGAACGCATCCACAGACCCCTCCACCCCCACCCCCCTCAAAGGTCATGGCCGCGATTTCTCAAGTGATGTTGGTCACTATGAAGTGGAAGTTCGATCATCAAAGAGAACTATTTTCATAAGACCTTGCTAGCAGCTTTCCTTCAAATCTATATATGTCCTCGGGTGCTTCTTCCCGGTGGCTAGCTCGCTTTTGCAATCAAACCTTCTTTGTGACGCTAATGCTGTGCCTATTTCAAAAATTCGAGCAAATTATAAAATGATATATGTCTATAATCGCCGGCGCGCCTTCTACACATTGTTCAGTACCTTCTTCGTCAAAAAATTTCGAGTATAATAAAACAACTAATTCATCCCTCTCTTGAAATTGATAAAATTTCAAGTTCTCACATGGTTCGTAGGCAACACAGTCAGTAATCTCATCGACAGACCATATGCATAGCCTCAAGATTTATCTGCCTTTCCACGGCCTCTATCAAATTCTGTGTCCTTTCATTCTCCCTAAAGCAACGCTGGTAAATAGCTATATATATAATTAAGCAGAAATTGAGTCTCTACAACTTACGTCCAAATGTTATATCAACAGATAGGTCAAAATTGAGTGGTCATATCAAGCAATTAGAAGTGTCCTAAGTGAAAATGGCTCAGCTCACAACACTGCTTTTCCGGCCTACTTTGCCCTCGCCATTTTTTTCTCTGAGCCTTCAAATGTTGAACTAAAGATCTAATCCACCTCGCCATCCCTTGAACATAGATACACAGCCTTGCCGAACCTGAGAGAGAAAAACTTCAAGTGGCCAGCTAACTCAGGCCACATAGACAGCTTTATGACGCTCCATCTGCAACCGCGTCGTCCTTAGAAACCTTTTCTCCTAACTGCGGCCTTCTTAGAGCTGAGAAGAACAGAAGAAAACAACTATCAGAACTAACATGATGAACGAGAGAACCCAAAAAAATAGAAACCACTAAGGAATGTCGTCTCTATACTTCTTTATGGAAGTGGCAAATTAGTCAACGAACCAAATTATGTTTTGATACCAATTTCATGCACAATCTTATATATCATATCCTCACGTCGATGCAAATTGTCCCACAAATTCTGCTGGGAGATCAGGAAGCATACATACATCCCAAGAACTTGCTCTTTATCATTGATTATACTATATGCATTGTCTTATCACCCACAAAATTCTTCATTTAAGATCAAACGACTAGGAGGGAAAAGCTAACAGAAAAAGACAGCTCCAAGAAAAAGTCGAACAGCCAGTACTCACACTTAAGAGATGTTCCGGCCAGACAAGTGAGCCTTGATTTTGTGTTAACCTCAGCCAGGGGAATAGGCTTTTCTTTCATAGCCATGCGAACATCCCAAACACGTATAACCCCATCAGATGATGCGGACGTCACTAGATATGGATCATCGTCTCCACTTGTGTCATTGCTCTTACTGAGTACAACAACACCTTTGACACGGGTGGAATGAGCATCCTCAATTTGGTAGGCAATCTTCCCAGTCTTTGTGTCCCATGCTGTAACACTCCGGTCTTCACCACCAGTGTATAGAAGTCCACTCTGTCGAAATCAATAAACATTTACAACAACATTCCTCCCATGTCTCTCGTACAGTACGAAAAGAATGCAGATGATGCACAAAACATATGTTCAAGGCAATAATATGGGGCTCAATCGGTGCACAAGGTTAAGGGCCTTTCATGCTGGGAAAACCGAAACCAGAACATAAAAGGAGGGGAGCATAGGGAGGAGATTCGCCTCCATCAATTCCTTCAAGATCAAATTGCTAGATTTCTGACCTTTTTATTAGTTGAAAATCCACTCAGGCCCTCTCTTATAAATCAACTAGAAAATAGTCACTTGAAGAAAATAAAGCTAACATTAAGAAGAATAAGTACACACAGAAAACATTAAACGTGCATCAAAGATACTTTTTGAAGCAATATAGCAGCCACATCTGCCCAAAATGAAGTGGAAAACAATTCTATTAACAAGCCTAAAATCAAAGTTCAGTTCCCTGCGACAATTAATAAAGTAACAATTTGTTTTAAGAAATAGAATTTCCCTCAGCGCATATCAGAACCTGATTTATGGGCAAAGTAGATCAATGGAGAGAGAGAGAGAGAGAGAGAGAGTCTGAAAAAGACACTTGCAAGTAAATTTATGTGTGAATTATAGTATTTGATAAGTTTAGAAAAATTAAATTGTTTTACCAATTGAAAATTATAGTTCAACTACTTCAATTTAATGACAATTTAAAGCAGGTGAACAAAAGGTAATATAATGCTCCAAAAAAAAAAAACAAAAGCAAAAGGCAATACACGCACATTTGAAGCATATTGTGCATGGTCAGATACGCACATAAATAATAAATTCTATTGTGCACGGTCAGATAGTATCAATATTAGTCAACCACTGACTGAAACTCTTCACATAGCCAACTTATTACATTGTGCAAAGGATAGGTAGGATCAAGCTGTTTGAGCATGGAAAGTTTATTATCCAGTAGTCAGGCGGAGGATTTTTCTTTTTATTTTTTTTTTTTTGGGGCGCAAGGGATTTCTTTTGGAGCAGAAAATGGCATACAAAGCATCTAAAAAATAACAACAAATTTTCTCTGACATATAAGATAGAAATAGTTGTATTTTCCATGATTTCTTAGACTTATGCAAGTCCCATTAGCTGTTGCCCAAACAGAGGCTTATTATTAGTTTTTCACCACAGTAATTATTGTTTGAGTTGAGGAGTTTTACCTTTCATTATTTTATAACATCTATAAATTCAGAAGGTCAAGCCACTTCAGTTCAGTAATATACGTGGTGAGCTTGAGGAGCTTGTATAAAGGTTGGGAATCACACACTAAGGTTTCCATTGGCTTATTACAAACTAATAAGTGCCCTAAAGGCACTAGGCAAAACCTTTAAAAATAGTAATAACACATATCACCACATTTTGAAAATGGAGCAATAACACATTTCAAAAAACTCACCCACTTCAAATGGAAATATTAATGTTCTCAAGCACAATTAATGACCGTTGACAAGTGCCCTAAGGGCACTCTTTAACATTAGTCATAATCAATTCTTCGTACGGATATTAAAAACGCATGGTTTTCAAAATGTAGAGACAAAGCAAACTTCAAGTTTAAGTCTTTCATGTATTATGTTTTTGAAAGTTCTGGATCCATGACGAGAAAGAGAGCAAATAGCAACCATCATGATCTTCATGCTCAGAACCTAACATCTCCTGTAACAGTCCCAATATCAATTCTAGAGCTTACTCAGAAGCCATAAAAAACTATGCTTGACCAATGCAGAAACACCAGAAAACTCCAGAGTTGTAAAACTAAACATGCCTGATCTTATACTTAAGATGCTTCCACACTAAAATTTCGACCTGCGCACTAGGCCAGACCAAAGACCATATTCGAAGTTATAGTTAAATAGATCAAATTTCTCACCACATTTATGAAATACTTTTACAAATTATCACAGCAATATACTGTCTAAGCCAATATAAAACTAAAAGCCCCCACCTAGATTACATTCATATGAATCCAAAACAGAAGACTCCACCATTCACCGCCAGATATGTTCCTTGTAGATCTATAAGTTCACACATGGAACTTCAAACTCTGAAAATTCATAAACAATCACCATTATGAGCAGTTCGGTACAAGGATAAGATACAACAAGCAATGCAAATTGATAGATGGCAAATTCCTGTGCATCTCCTCCCCCAACCAAGAGAAAACCCAAATCTTACAGCAAATCAGCAACATATGCGCGCAGAACATTAACAACAGACTAATGACCATTCAAACAAGCGACAAAACAAGACCAAACAACTTGAAACAGAAGCAAACGATCAAAGAGAAACAAAACCAACCTCACCGGGAGCAGCACAGAGAACCCTCTTCCCACTCTCCATTTCCCAGACCAACCTCGCGTCCTCGGCTTCATGAACCCCGACTCTATCCCCCATAACCATGAAGAACCTCTCTCCGCTCAAATCGAACCCCACCCAGCTCGCCTCCTTCGCCAACCGGCAACAGAAGCTCCTCCGCCCCCTCACCAAGTTGACCATCGCCAGGCACTCGTCCCTCCCCACCGTCAGCGCCAGCTTCCCCGATGGATGCACGGAGAGGCTGTTGACCCCGCCCTTCTTGTGAACCGCGACCGTCTTCAGGTGCACGAAGGGATCGGCGTCGAAGATGCACACCGAGCCGTCCGCGGAGGCGGAGAGGAGGTTGCGCGGGAACGAGAGGTGCGGGGGGGTGTAGAAGCAGAGGGCGGTGACGGTGGCAGAGTGGTGGTGGAGGGAGCCGAGGGAGGAGGCCGTCGCCAGGTCGTAGAGGTGGACGGTGTCGTCGCCGGCGCCGGAGGCCGCGACGGGGCCGGCGGCGGCAGCGGAGGAGATCGGGGAGAGGTGGGAGGGGTAGCAGAAGAGCTTGGTCAGGGTAAGGGCACGGCCGTCGGGGGAGTGCTTGAGGGGCTTGAGCTTGAAGCCCCAGATGAACTTCTCGTACGAGCCGGCGATTAAGCTCATGGTGGGCACGATCCGCGACCTGCAGAGATGGTCGATTTCCGATCCTCTTCGACGTCGGCGGCGATGGCGGCGTTGGAGGCGGAGGGGGCGGCAGCGGAATTAGGGTTTTAGGCCGCAGAACGGCGGCGGTGTGTGATCAGGGGTTTAGGTAGGGTGGAGGTAGGACTCCCGGCGGATGAGAATTTCTGTGTTGAAGGAGACTTGATGCCTCACCAATAAAGCAGGGAAGGTTAAATGAAAATAAAGAAAAGAAAGCCTAGTCGCGAATTTGGAAATTTGTATAATTTAAAATTATTCTGGCAAAATTGAGCACATAAAAATAGTGTAACGATCTTATTAGGGATAATAATACAAATGATTCATGAACTTTGGCTTAATATGCAATATGGTCCCTAAAATTTTGGTTTACATTCAAACTAGTCATTAAACTACATGAAATATTCAATAGCGTCTCTAAACTTAAATTAATAGAAAGACAATATTAAACATTTTCATATAGATCAGGGATTAGTTTGTACATGTACCAAAAGTTCAGGGACCACATTGAACAAATTAAAAGTTATGGAACCACATTATACATTGGGTTAGCGCCTAATTCCTCAGATGGGTGAAATGGTTTTCAAAGTATTCATTTGAAACCAGACATATAGCAAGAAAGAAGAATGTACTTGCTGATTTCTTATCCTCGCCAAAAGAATTTATTGCACCAATTACATCCATAAACATGTATATGTCGCGAAATCCATTCAGTGGATTTAAACCCATCAAGATGAAACATTCTTGGCTTAGCAGGTAATACCTGCCGGAAGTTCCTGCATACATCCAAGACAACATCCTTTTTGAAAATATGCGATCACTAATATAGAAATATCAACAGCTGATTTTCAGCAGGTACGGAAATTAAGTCTTAGACCCAGTGGATTGTATCTAGAATATCCTTTCATCCATCTTATCTCCCTCAATCTTGAAGATGAGTTCCCAGAAGAATTCAAGTGATTTTATTGGAATTTATTCAATCTTTATATCATAGCCATTGAATTTCCAACAACCAAGATCATTTCTATTATTAGCAATATTCTCCAGGGAGAGAAAAAGTTAAAACATTTGGGTGATATGCTTAATTGGTTCAAACCATCAGCTAGGAGTTTTATTGGTATGAGGAACAACTTAGAGCCTATCAACCCAATTCGGAGTTATATACAACAGTCCTCTTTTCACAGACTTGTTTATTCGTCCAAATGGAGATGTGAGCAAAACTCTAGCTGATGTAAGAGTAACCACATACAAACCTCAGTCAATTCCAGAAAAGTTCTTTAAAACTCTTCCATGCAAAATCTCGGCACTTCCTCAGGAATATAGAAAGTTCCAAAGACTTCTATGCCAATACAATCAAGTGATACCATCAAAGATATGACCAACAGGTTCTAGCAATGCATCTTGGGATCATCTTACTAATCACAAGTATACGTTGGGACAATATTATGGCATAGATATGCAAGCTGATATGGATGTTGCTGTTTCGTCCTCATCCCAAGCCCTTCAATCACAAGATCCATGGGAGGACCATTATCGCAAGACCCATATGATTACAATGAGCTATAGCTTGCACTCACTCTAGGTCTTGACAAAAACAGTCCGTCACTGCAATTAGGGAACTTTCCTCAATAAGGTATTCCACCATATTCTGCTGATATTGCCTCGAGTTTCGCGGACGTTCCATCTAATTATGAGTCTCAACAAAAAAGACAAAAATCCTCGGAACCTTGTGAAGAGGTGGCCCTAGAAATTACGGAAGTTGAACGACTCCTTAGAGAATATAGAAGACAAAAGGACGGCAACGGTTCAGACGTTCCGATGACGACAATACCAAAGAACCCATCCACAAGTACGATCTCTGAAAACGTAGGAAAGTGTGTTGGAAAAAAATGGTCCGTTGTCGAAAAACACTGTAGCAAAAATACTGTAACAATGTACTGTAGCAAAGTACTGTAGTAGGGGGTACTGTAGCAGACACTGTCCATCACTGTAACAATACTGTAGAAAGTTGAAAAATCGTCTATCAGTGTCTTCATAAACCTATCAGTAGTATGTCAGAACCTTATCCCTCAGTAATGAGTCTGTCAATCATCTAAGTCAGTGGTCATCTGAGTCAATAGTTCTAAAAGTCTATGTATGATGAGTCCGTGGGCAATTATTGATGATTTCTAGAACTTCACCAATAATTGATCGCTTGTTCAGTCGTTTGAGCCTATATAAGGCAGTGCTTGTAATATTTGAAGGCAAGATCTGCTCCCCAGAAAAACCTTGAGAAATAAAACTTGTGTGCATTATGAATCCCTAAATCTTCACTTATACCTTACTACCTGGTATAATTCTTTAAACAAACGTATGTGCGCTGATTAGTCCTGGTAGTATGCTCTGCACTTGCCACGATTTGGAACTTGTGCATTAAAATTCTGCTACTATAAAGCAGTTCTAAGGTGTTAATCAAAATTTGAAGAGGGGCTTGGTGGCCAAAAGACAGTCCCTTTTTTGAAAGCCTGTAGAGCCGTTTGTGTGTGGGATAGCATACCTGCCACAAGCCTGTCTTCGTTTTCCCTTATTGGCATCTTATCACCCCTTTATCAGTATCAGAGCCAGTGCCCTATTCAGCATACCCGTTCGTTTTTAGATGAATTACCAGGTAGAAAAGGTAGACTTATTCCATCATGAGTGATTCTACTGATTCCAGTCCACCAGTCATTGTTAATGCCCTCTTAGATCTTTGTACTTCAAATGTTTCTAAAATTGACTATCTTTATAAGGTTTCATATCTTCATGAAGATAGCAAAATTTTATTAATCCGTATTCTACTTTTGCCAAATCCCCTCTTTCTCTCCTCTACGTTCCATCAAGCAACTCATCAAACATACACCCCAGGAAGTTAAAGAGTATGTCCAGTTATCTCGATTCGATCAGCATCCTATTCCTGCTACTCAGCAAGAACATTTTGTTACCCTCTAAATACCTTTTGATTTTCCACTTCAATAAGTACAGCAAGGGTATACGCATGGGATCATTTGTGTCATTCCCGTCTTATTATCATCTTCATTATTATTATTATCAAAAAGTTTACATTTGATGCCTGTTTTATGATTAGAATAAAATTTAGGAGTTTACTAATAACAAAAATTGTAATATTCCTTCCGTATCCTAACTACTTTCTCTCACACTTACAACCTACATTAAATCATAATATTCACTATCTAGTATCAAAATGAAAAAAATAATAATAAAAATAATCGATAATGCTATTACACCATTCAAACACCAATGCTTCACAAATCATTGTATTATAAACAGATTTATTAACTTTTTGCGGTATATCTCCAAATAATAATTTTAATTCGATAAAAGCAACGACAAAATAAATGTAAGCAATGAGTGAAATATACAACATAAACATTAGAAAATATTCGATAAGACACATTACCTCTTTCTCATTAAAATTTAAATTCTGTAGGAAAATAAAATGGCGACGGTCCGTTATTAACAGTGGAAGTAACGGCCCATCATACACTGTTCACATTTTTTAGTAAATCTGTGTACTTTGTTGTATCATTTTTAATTTCTTACACCAGCTCATAATAGATAAAATATTCGTCAGTCAATTTAATTAAGTTATTTGAACAATAATTCTGATTTTAATAGGACTTACAAGCCTAAGTTACTTGAAAAGAGTCACAAAACCAAAATCCTAAGATGGTCGTCTATGTAATGCAAACATGCTGTGGTTTGATTAGGTCATATGTGCAAGAACCACGATTTTTTTTTTCTTTTCTGTGCAAGAATTCAAAACTATTTAAGTTTTTACTTTTGGAGCTGTCAATGTCGATTATGTTGTAGATACTCATTAATTTATTTTTAGACGTATGTGACAGAAACGTCATTTATTTTTTACTTTTGAGACTATTGAACGAATTTTGGATCTATGTGATAAGAGTGACTTAGTTCGATCATGTGCAAGACTCGTGTCCTTATTTGATGCAAAATAAGTGTCATGGACAAAAATTTCCTACGGGACTAAAAATATCAGTTTTCAAGTAGCACTGAATTTTTACAAAACTAACTAAAATTTAATATGGTGTAATTGTGGATGTAATTTCCTCCATATTGAAATAACTCCATATTTTTCTTTTGCCTCACCGGTAAGAAGTCCTAAGTCCGGTCGGTAATTAGAATATGTCATCCACGGTTAATATGAAATTAGTGAAAGATGTTTACAAATTTAAGTCACTATATTATAGAAAGTTAATTACACAGCCTATTGTTAGGTTACCGATCATCCGAAAAAGGGAGTTTGTGGTCCAAAAAGCACCGTATTCTTTAGAGAATAATGGCTTATTACCTTAGCATGGTTTTTTTTTTATATATATACACATTTTGTTTTAATGTTTTCCAAATAGTGGTATTTGGGTAGGTAGAAAGGAAGAATAGGATTAGAATGAAGTATATACGAGAGTATAGTAAAAAAAATCAAGGCAAAATCTTCTAAATAGGCCACATCACCTTTTTGCTGTTCCCATTCCATTAATTTCAATATACGTATAGAATTTTGATGATATAATAGGATAAAATAATACAAAACAAAAGACTATATCATCTGTGTGATTTACACCAATAAAGATATAAGGTCGACAATTCTAATTTTTGCATCTGGTTCGAAATAGGAGTTTGCAATGAGGGTTTGATCAGGCTTCGACTAAGGATGGAAGTCATGAAATATTGTCATGAATCTCGAATTTGCAGTAAATTAAAATAAAAACGACAAAATCCTTGAGTTCGACCAATCAATACCAACGATGTCCGGACCAACTTTCTAATTTTTCATGTAACTTGTCAATGACTTTGTCGATTGAATGTGAGCATCACTTATCAAAATGAGGTTAATTAAACAAGCCCACCCCATAAACCGAGCGAACACACTCTCCTTACCCTAAGTAACGTAGCATTGGGGCATACTTCATCGTTAGAGATAGGAATTTTAACTTGAAAAGCTTGACTCTTAGGGCGCATTCAATTTGTGAAAAATAAATGATTTGAAAAATATATTTAGAAATTGTTATCGATAATAAATTATTATTCATTGGCTAATTATTTAAGGGATACAAACAATCATTTTTGGGAAAATATTTTATAAATTATTTTTTTTTCGTGA